CTCTCTCTCTCTCTCTCTGTCAATAACACTGTGTTGGGGAACTCCCCTACTTTTCTAGTCAGACTGGGCAGCACAGTTAGTCCTCCTGCAAACGGCCCTGGCTGGCTCGGGGAGAATTAGAAATGCGGAGAGGGTTTAACAGAGCGGCAGCGAGGAAGCCCCGGCAGTGTTCAATAGCAGCAGACCGCTGCTGCATTGCGCTCCTCACCGAGCAGGTCGGTCCGCTGAGAGACAAACATCCTCACACAGCAGTGAGTGCATGTCCGTGTGTTTGTGTGTGTGTGTGTGTGTGCGTGTGTGAGGTGGAGGCTGCGGCCGAAAAATGAAACAACAATAGAAACCATGTCTGAGTGTTATAAATAAATAAATACATAAATGAAAAAATAATAATTACCATTACTTATACATAGCCTTTTTTTTGCAGGGACAAGGAAATAAGTAAATCAATATATGATGCAGACTGCTTTTATTTATTTATTGACCTATTTGCCCCTAAAAATATTGGTTGCAGCAGTGGAGTACAGTAAGAAGTCCCCCATTAGGTTAGACCATTAGACAGTGCACCATCTGCACTACTATGGCTATATTATAAATTCCTATGAATGAATAGCCTATTATTGCAAATGTCCCAATGCGTTAGAGTATCTGACTATTTCTGTCTCTCTCAGAAAAGAATGAATGAAGCACTTTACACTTGCCCCGGCAAAATAGCTGCACCAGCAAAAAAATATGACTGAGCACCGGGCTGACTTGTATTAAAGCCAGATCACTCTCTTTTCTTTAGCGCCTCTCTTTGTCCTTTGTATGAATGTGTGAATATAAAGATATTTCTCTCCCCCCCCCCAACCAGGAGCTGTCAGCAGCCGGGACACCAAGCCATTTAATCTTCCTATATGACAGGAGGAGGTGAGGTCTGTCCCTGGTAACCGACATACACACACGGCGACCCAACACCGCCTCTGCTGCCTCTCCCGTTACAGCTCAGCGATCGAGTTACGCGGCCGGGGAAAATGTTGCAGTAGAGAGGAGAGAGAAGGAGAGAGAGAGAGAGAGAGAGAGAGAGAGACTGCAGCATCGCTTGAGAGCAGCAGCAGTCCCAAGCAGTGCAGGTGAGAGGGGGGAGAGAAAAAAAAAAGCTGCAGATCCAAGAATTTGAAATTCCCCCTTTGTCTGGGAGATGAAGAAACACTAGACTGTGGACTTTAACTAAAAGACTGTGTGTTTCTCATTCAGTGGGAGCGTTCACTAGCATGATGTTGGAGCTCGTTGCTTTTCTCCATGAGTTGGCAGTGTCCTGCGTTGGCTGGCGTGCTGTGCTTTCTCTCTCTCCCTCTCTCTCCCTGCCTGACAAACACGCACACACACACGCGCGCACACACATACACAACCCCCACACCCCCACAGATGCATGCACACACACACACACACACACTCACACTCTCTCACACACACACACACACACAGTCCCTCTGCGATCCCCCTGACTGAAGGCACACAGGAAGTGCAGCCGTGGCCCAATTATAGCGTGACACCTCGGGCCGGCCGTTGCCATGGTTACGTCTTCCCTGCGGTCCCCTGGAGTGTGGCGCCGAGGAAGAAGGTCTTATCACATCAGCCATCGTTACGGCAACAAGCAAAAACCCACCCTGTAGCCTCAGTCCAGCTGGCTGTGTATTTTGTTTATAATGTGTGTATGAGTGTGTGTGTGTGTGTGTGTATGATCTATACTTGTGAATAAAATGGGAAATTGCGTCAGTGTGTGAGTAGAGAAGAGGGTGTTTGTGATTATGTGTGCATGGCAGGTTAGGTGTGTTCGAGTGCATGCACTGGACTTGCCAAGGTAGCGTGTAGGTGTGTTTGTGTGTGTGTGTCTGTGGGGTTGCGATAAGGCTCTCAGCCACACCATTAGGTGACTCATAATCCACACAACCTCTTACACACACACATACGAACACACATGTGTACAACCAGAAACCAGTGGCTAACAGACACACACACCCAATTAAATATGAACACACACACAGATGTAGTATAAACCCAGCCTGTAGACAGGTGCACATGGCCAATTTCTTTTATTTCAAAAGGGCAAACAGAGCTATACAGTACAAGTTGCACATGAAATAATTTAGCCTAGGCTGAACTCATTCATTTCTTACTGATGCAGTGACGTCAGAACAACAAAAACAAAACTCCCCATTAGAAACAAAACATTTGGCTCCTTTTTTTATGTTGAAACACAATACATCCAAACTGGAAAGGGATGTAAAAAAAGACATAATGTTTTCCAGATATTTACAGTCTATTTACAGCATTTTTGTCGTCATCTAAATATTGACACACATTGGTATCCTTCTTTCTCTCCTCTCCAATTCACTGATTGTCAAAAGAAAGGATGGGAACGAGTGTGGACATTCTCAAACGGAGCTGCAGCTCCTCGCTAAACACAAGATCCGAAGATCTCTGAACCACAGTCTGAACAAGTTAACATGGTGTCCTGTGTGTTTTTATTAAACTGCAGCTCCTCAACAATCATCCAACCAGGATCCTCTGACAAATGCTGTCAACACATACAGTACATTACTATCCATCCAAGGTGCTGTTGCTTCTCTCCTGTGCCAGACCCAAAGTAAAGTCGGAGCCCCTAAGATCAAACCCAGACACTCTGCTCTCAAACCCAGGACCTCCCGGCTTCCTCTTCAGCTCCTCGCACTTCCTGTATTTACAGATCTGGTGTCCCCTCTTGCGATTGCGGCAGCTGCTGCACTGTTCGCAGTTCGTCTGACGCCGACAAGGCACACACTCCCCGCACCTCTTTCTCTTCCTTCTCCCTCCACTGCCTCCGCCCAGAGAGCCAGGAGAGTAGCCCTCGGCCACCAGCCCCTCGATGCCCTCAGCTCCCATGGCCGCGCTCCTCCAGTGGCCTCCCCCCATCTGGAAGCCTGCCAGGGGGAACAGAGCGGGGCTGAAGGGGAACCAGGCACCTAGGAAGGGTTGGAAGTCAGTGCCACATCCAGAGGAGTCCTCTTCCTCCTCCTCAGGCCCGGATCCACCTCCCTCCCCGTCCCCCTTCCCCCCCTTTGCCTCTGCAGCCTCCCTTTTAGCCGGCTGGCTGCTCTGCGCACCCAGGCCGGCCTGCTCTGTGGTGGCTGGGGTCAGAGCCAGCAGCCCGGCTCGCATCAGCAGCTCTGCGGCGTGGGCCAGGTGGAGCCCGCTGGGCGACTCCCACATGTCGGGCCAGGAGGGGGCCCGGCGAGGCTTAGTGTGCGCAGGCTGGGCGGGCCGCTGCTGGGCCGGGGAGGGCTGGATCAGGCCTTTGACGTCCACGGCCGGGGAAGGGGTGGAGATGTAATGGGAGAGGCTGTAGGGGTGGTTGGAGCGCTTAAGGCTGGGTCTCAGTGGCTCATTGGGGATTTTAGCGCTGCTGTGGGCCTGATCTGGGGAGGAAGGGCCAGCGATGTCTACGGCGGTGGACATAGCAGTGGCTGTGTGGGGGGGGTGTCTGTCCTTGTGCGTGTGTGTGTGTGTGTGTGTGGGAGGAGAGGTGAGGGAGAAGGGGATTGAAGCCGATGCGGGGTTGACAACCGTCCTGCTGTTACTTCAGCCAAAATGGCAAGCCTTGGCCTGTGTCCCTATTCCCATTCTCTGCAGCAGCCTCAGAGTCCTGGAGAGCTAGAAATGAATAGAGGAAGGTTAAGAATAGAAATGTTGGAGAGACGAATACAAAAAGAGAGTAAACAGAGGAGACGAGACTGCAACATATTTCTCATTCAGAGTCACTAAAACAGTGTCAGAGAATCAGCGTGTGGACAATCTGTGTTTAAAGACAAATATAACATATACATTAGGGGTTGAGAAATAAGACTGCTTGAATAGAAATGAACAGGCCCATGTATTAGACAGAGTGCATGCCTTGCCAGTGATTTCCGCATACAGGAGGCAGTATCCCTTTAAGAATTTCACGGTATATCAATGCAATCAATAACAGAGCGACAACAATATGCAAAGATATGCGCATATGCGCAGGTCAAATGTGGAGCGCGCTTTTCAAATACATTTTGACGACTGCTGTTATGTGTGCCAGCCAAAGCTTAAGCTCAACAGAGAAAGACTATATAGAGAAGCGTAAAAAAACAGGCTGTCTTTTGTCTGGTATCGACGACGAGGAGCGAGGTGCGCAACGATGCGGTTGCTGTGGATAAAAAAAGACCAGGCTATATTCCATGTCCACATTTGTAGGAAAACTACTCCGCTGATTAAACACGGGACATATATGTGGTTACAGGACGAGGGTGTAAACCCTTTCGTGGGTCGATTGGGAAACCCGATCGATCATTTCACCGTAATTAAGGTTACCTAAGAAGACGGTGCTCGACCGACGCCACGGCGAGCTGACCACAGTCCGAGTGGTCGCTGCGACACGGCGCAGCGCGCAGGAAAAGGCGACAAAACCAAAACAGCGAAAATCAACAGGAAGTAGGGATAAAAACGTCTCCGCTTACCTTCGAAATACGGTCCGAACTCTCCTGTCAAAAATGTGATGAAGTCATGAACTAATGGCGTGGTGATTGTAGTGTATATGGACGGCGGAGCTGCCGATTCCTCCTCCACCTCTCCGTCCCGGAGGGTCTGCAAACACTCTGCACGGAATTTGGGGGCGTCGCTCAAAATGCGAAGTGGACTCTGCAGCCGAGACCGTGGTCAGAGCGACCCCATAATATCCACAGGAACCGTCCAACATACACGGACAGCTGTCAGTATTAAACCCCGAATTAATCCAGCAAATAATATCCACCAGTGCCACTGTGTGTGTGTGTGTGTGTGTGTGTGTGTGTGAGAGAGAGTTTATTGGGCGTTAGGTGGAGATCTTCACCATGAAACACACACACACATATATAAATAATCATAAGTATTATAAAGATAAAGAATGTATTAAAATATCATCAGGTCCGTTTATCACCTCCCTGATGTGAAACATTAAATTCTCATTATTGTTGTTGTTGTTGTTGTTTCTATCAGGATGTGGACATTAATGATCACATCAGTCTAATATTACAGCAGTGCATATTAGGCTTAATTACCTTTAAGGCCTCTGCCAATTACCACCAATTCATTCATGATTCCTGTTTTGTGAGTGAAAGCAGTTGTGTAAACGTGGGCCATGTGATGAAAAAGAAAATGACTCTAGGCTGAGGAGAAGTATAATTACACCTCTAATTAATAATTAACTTAATTAAAAACAGCTGTGGTCTGCCTAGTATACAGTTAGTGATGATTTAAACACTGGAAATACATGAAAATGTGAATAGATGTTTATTACCTGTTTGTTTATATGGAACGAAATACAGTTATTAACATGTGTATGATGAAAATGTGGAAAGGATCCCTTTTATCTGCAGGCTGATGCTGATAGTCTATAAGCTGATGTTTTAACATTATGTTGTAAAATTATTAACACAAGAGTAGAAACATTAACCCAAAATAACTTTTAGGGACAAGGTGCCTGAAAGAAAAATGTATATAAATCGAAATGATGTGTTTTATCCACACCTTTGCATTACATTTACATGATTTATTAATGATATGATGTATAATTATGAAACTAATTTGTGATTACTGGTGAAATTATTATTCGAAATTGTGATTTTTGTTGTTGTATGGTTGTTTGTTTGAGTCTGGTGTGGTTGGACTTACATCCTGTACCAGAATAATTTACATAAATAAACAAATAAATAATTATAATTAATAAATAACAGCTAAACTCAATACGCTCTCTATTCTAGTGTTAACATTACCAACACTATTAAGTCACCTACACCTAAAAAATATGAATAAAAATAATAATTAAAAAAACTAATGAATTAACCAAACATAAAAGGCCCAGAAAGACATAATTACAGCCAATGAGCAGTCAGTGTTTATTAGTATATGGAGCACAAACATCCTGTGTGCTTTGCGGCTCCAGCAGAGAGCAGAGCCGCTGTCCCTCTCTTGGAGCTGTCTGTTAAAGGTGACTCCTCACTCAGGGATGGCGGAGTCCACTCCACCTCTTGTGAGAGTCCTCCGTTGTATCTGGCACGCAGCCAGATACCTCGTGCGTGTGTTTGTGTGTGTGCGT